CCTTACTTTTTTCACCACTGAATTTCATTTTGTTAGATAGCGCCCAGTGTTCAAGTCTGTCCAGATCCTCCTGTATCCTAAGCCTGTCTTCTGGAGTGTTGGCTATTCCTGCCAGCTTGGTGTCATCTGCAAATTTGATGATTTCCCCATCTATCCCCTCGTCCAAATCGTTGATGAAGATGTTGAAGAGCACTGGGCCTAGAACAGAGCCTTGGGGCACCCCACTACACTTAGTTTGGGTGGGCCAACTTAACGTATGGTCACTGTAGAAATAAATGGGATGAAAAGTATATTGCGTGCTAGTCTTAACTAAAGTCTACTTTTTTTCTCTTTTACAGGCCCGCCCATTTTAAATATTGCACTAATATCTCACCTTACGTTTATTGTACAAAAGATAGCTATGCTTGGACAAAAGGATCAGAGGAAAGGCCGGGGGTAGCCCTGAGGTCGTTTGACTCCTGGTGGCGATCCCCCGACAGAGGGGTCTCGGGACCTTGTTGGGTTACAGTACGGAAGTGGCACTCGTCAGCGTCCAGAAACGACGACTCCGTCATAGAAAAATCGCTGAAGTCTCTTAAAGACAAAAGCAAGAAGTTGGAAGAAGGGGGGCCTGTGTACAGCCCAACAGTAGAAGAAGCCATCGTTAAAAAATCCATTGGGCAGAAGGTCATCGATGAGGTGAAGCATTACTACCACGGCTTTCGGCTGCTGTGGATCGATTCCAAGATTGCCGCGCGGATGCTCTGGCAGATCCTTCACGGCAGCTCCATGAGCCGCCGGGAACGCAGACAGGTGCGTGGTAACACGCTGCTCTTCCTGGGCTTGGAATTCAAATGAGCTGAATATTATTTACCAAACAATTGGAGGCATTTTGATGTTTTAAGTGGCCTTAGACGTTCAGTTCTTGTCTTGAATAAATGAAACATCAGAAGTAAAGGAATTAAACATGTGAAGTAATATTTAAGAAAGAAATTGTGTGTGTGTGCATGCACACAAAACCTGTAGAACATCTTTATTCAGTGTGTGTATATAAAGTGCAAGGTAGAGTAGGGAGGGTAGAAAGAAGGACCAGATTGGAATAATTCAGCAACACAGAGGTTGAGACGTTATACGAGCGCACGCAGTCCTCCACTTATAGCGGAAGTTACAACGGCTCTGGAAAAAGTGACGGCCAGTCCTCGCACTTACAACCCCTGAGCATCCCCCTGGTCACAGGATAAAAAATTTGCATGCTTGGCACCTGGCATTGACAGCGGCTGCCGCGTCCCAGGGTCCCGTGATCGCCATTTGCACCTTCCCGGACAGCTTCCAAGAGGCAAAGGCAATGGGGGAAGCACGTTTCGTTTAATGACCACAGGAGTCACCGAACAACCGTGGCCAAAAAGGTTGGGTGTGACTAGTAACCCCCTTGCTTAGCAATAGAAATTGTGGTGCCAGCTGTGGTTGTAAGTGGAGGGCTGCCTGTATAGATTTTACTATCATGCTTGTAAACATAATCACCGATCCTCGTTATCTCATTTTTCTGGCAAAAGCCTAAAAGCTAGCCAATTTATGTATGTCAGATTAGAAAACTGCAAAGAAAAATGTGGGTTTTTTTTTAACAAGAAGTGCGGCTGCGGCGTGAACATAAGTGGAGCAAAGTAGCACGTGAGTCTGGCACGGCCTACAATTTCTCGGTAATGCAGAGAAAATTTCAGCTGTCAGTGGATGCTAAGCCCCTTTTACTCCGTGGTGATTATAGTTAATGGTGCTGTTTATGCCCGCTCTGCCGAGAGGGAAGCCAAGCGGTCTGCGATTGGCTCCGTGTGAGACTGCAGCTTTCTTTGCAGTAAAGGACAAGTTTGTGAATACTGTTTTTCTCTCTGTTGAAAGCAGGAAGGATATCAAAGAAATAAGCTTGGTAAGCTTGATCACGTGGAGCTTTTTTTTATAGTTAAAGCTCCCCCAAAAAGATACGGTCAATTAGCCACCACGATAATATCACCTTCAGTCTTTGATTATTTTTTTTAAAAAATGCTTGGAGTAAGGCTGTCGACTGTTTTCGTTCTCCTCTTGCGATAAGCGGAAACTTGTTTTTTGTCCACAGTTCCTCCGGATCTGCGCTGACCTCTTCCGCCTGGTCCCTTTTCTCGTCTTCATCGTCGTTCCTTTCATGGAGTTCTTGCTTCCCGTAGCCTTGAAGCTGTTCCCCAACATGCTTCCTTCCACATTTGAGACAAACTCTAAGAAGGTGACAGTTACATTCAGACACACTTGTAGAAAAGCCTGTAGAGGGAGGGTATCCCTGGTTAAAATACCCGCATGCCTGTACACCTGAGCAGGTGACCCCAAGTGCTTCAGACCCCCCTCCTGCTGGTGAAAGGGGGATCCTGCTGTCTACAGATCCCTCTCTCCTATAGCCAGGTGTATGGCTTAATTAAATGCTCAAAGGGGAACCACGGAATAAAGGATTGGCGTGCCGTTCACTTCAGCTCAGACTCAGGGACGTTGCCTTCGGAGAATGTGCACGCGAAGGACCTTAAATCTAAATGGGAAATGTTAATTTTTAGCTCAAAAAATACCTTGATGAAGCAGTTGAAGAGTGGCTGTTCCTTTAGACAAACCATAGGCAAAGCTGCAGGCTTGCCTGCTTAATTGGGAACGAATCCATTTTGTTTAGCTGGACTTGTTTTTCAATCACTGTTCCTGGGCTGGAAGAGCTTCTATGAGAATGTTGCTCAATATTGTATCCTGTCCAATATTTAATAGTGTCCACAGCAGACATAATAGGAAATTAATGTTTAATGCCAGTCTGGAGCAGCTTTCTATTAAAATGCTTTTTTGTTCTCTCGTTAGGAAGAGAGGTTGAAGAAAGAACTGAGAGTAAAGCTCGAAGTGGCTAAATTTCTTCAAGATACCATCGAAGAGATTGCCTTAAAAAATAAAGCAGCTAAAGGGAACGCTACTAAAGATTTCTCAACCTTCTTTCAAAAGGTATTTAATTTGTCTTAAAAAATTTAAATTATGTTGTTATATTTTATCACTGGGTTTCAAAGCGGATGATAATAATAGACCCATCTGATGCAATAGTTAACATTTCTTAGGGTAAATCCCTGCTTTTCTGAGTAAAAGAGTCCTAGAGGCCACGTTGAGACTTCATAGCGTACAATCTCTAACTTCAGATACGCGAAACTGGCGAGAGGCCAAGTAACGAAGAGATTCTACGATTTTCTAAACTGTTTGAAGACGAGCTGACCCTCGACAACCTCACACGGCCCCAGCTGGTGGCTCTGTGCAAACTCCTGGAACTTCAGTCGATTGGGACAAACAACTTCCTTCGCTTCCAGCTAATCATGAGACTGAGAAGTATCAAAGCAGACGATAAAGTAAGGGGATCTTTTTTTGTTTACGGTTTATTGAAAAGAAGCTGCATCGCGGAAGAGAAAACGTAATTAATGTTAGAGTCACGATGGATGTGTTGGGAAACGCCGGCCAGGCAGGCAGGGGGAAAGGGCTCCAGTGGAGAATTGTTGTGAATGAATATAGCTATTTATTATAGCTGTTGTTTCGGAGTCCTTCGGATAACGCGCTTCTGTACGCTGTAGATGTTTTATCTTTTCTCCCGTCTAGCTGATCACCGAGGAAGGCATGGAGAGCTTGACGGTAAAAGAGTTACAAGCAGCCTGCCGAGCGAGGGGCATGCGAGCCCTCGGGGTCACGGAAGAGCGCTTAAAGGATCAGCTGAAGCAGGTATTTGATCCGCTGGGAGTATCAAACGGCTTTCGTTACGAGGCCACAACTCATACTGGATCCCGATGGGAACAATTATGCACAGAAGCGCTCAGCACATTCTTCCTGAGAGAGACCGGCTCAAGAACTAGCAAAGCTCTGCTAAAAAGTGCCAGGGTCCAGTTCTGACTCAAGCTTGACATTTTGAACTAAGCACAGGGGAGGGCGCCGCATGTGGTGTGTCTGTATACACAAACATGTATAGGTACATGGTGGCACACGCCAGCATGGGAGACAAAACACATGGCTTACTGGGTGGAATAACCCTGTTCTTTCTGCCTTTGCTGGGGAAGGCCTGGCTTCTGCAGATATATCCAGATTTTTAAGCAATAACAGAGAGAGAGCGAGAGAGCAGTACCCTTTTAGTTCTGTCCCTTTCGCTTGGCAGTCCCATCTGTATTTTGACTCTCAGCCTTTGACCAGATCTGGAAGGAGATTTTATCAGAGGAATGAACTCTGCTAGTAATTTTTTGGAATTTTTATTGCATCCTAAAACTTTTCACAAACCCCCGCTTGTGAAATCTTATAAAAATACGATAGAATAATCAAGGTCATGATATCCCTAGCCACTTAATACTTTTTCAGAATTTGGAACTTTGTCTGTGGAACAGCTAGAGATGCCGTAGTTCTTGTTACCCTGGGCTTGGTAATTTCAGGCCTTGCTGATGATATTTTCAGTATTACGTAGTATTATGTAGTCCAGTGGTTCTCAACCTTTTTAATGCCGCGACCCCAACCGGTCGTAAGTCGAGGACTAAACTGGTCGTAAGTCGAGGACTTGCCCTGCCCAGGAGCGCCGCGCATGCGTGGTTCCGCCCCCTGCGCCGGCCGAGGCGTAGCTGGCAAGCGGCAGAGACGGAGCAGGCCAACCACCAGCTGGCCCAGCCCAAGGGAGGTAAGGCACCCGCCGGAAAAGGGGGGAAAAATGGCGGACAAAAAAAAATGGCGGACAGCCTTGCTTGGCGACCCCCGTGAAATGGTCGATCGACCCCAAATGGGGTCCCGACCCACAGGTTGAGAACCACTGATGTAGTCTATTGTAACTGCTAATACTTTCCCAACCCTGATCTTATGCTACCCAAAACCTTACTTTAAGAAGAGATGTTGCTCTGAGGCGAATTACACAGTACCTCTATTTCAGTTTTTAATTACTGCACCTCCCATTTTGTGTGTCCCCTTTGGAAACAATGATTGCCAGTTAAGATCTAATTTCCACCTGAAAAAGACCTCCTCTTAAAGGAATAACTGCTTTAGTGGGGTCCCTGCATCACCCCGGAAACCCACGGTGTTTTATCCTTTAATTGCAGTGGTTAGACTTGCATCTGAATCAGGAAATCCCAACTTCCCTGCTGATATTATCCAGAGCTCTCTACCTCCCGGAAACGCTCTCGCCGGCTGACCAGCTGAAAACAACGTTGCAAATACTCCCCGAGAACGTGGTACGCTTTGCTTTACGTGGCCGGCTTTTTTCTGCGAATCGGTGGGGTGTGCTTGTAGCATTAGGAATTTTACGCATTTGGGGGATACGTTGTTCTGTGTTCCACATTCACACCTTTATTTCGACTTTTGTGTTAGAATTCGTAGGAAGCTCGTGGTGATCCTTTGGTCATTTTGGAATAAGTTTTCATATTATCTGTTTGGTTGAGGACCCCTGCTCTAGACCAGAGGTGGGCAACTATGGCCAGGGCTGTGGAGTCGGAGTCGAGGAGTCGGAGTCGGAGGAAATTTTGGGTACCTGGAGTCGGAGTCGGCAAACAATGCACCGACTCCGACTCCTACTAAATTTAGATTGGAATTAAAAAAAAAAAGCAAGTTTAAATGTCTCAATTCACAAAAAGTTATAATTAATGACTTCTCTACTGTAAGAATAAAGACCAATGCATGCAGTGCCTCACGGAACCGCAAAACGAACACGTTAAGTGACCGTGAAGAAGCATGCTTTTCATGTGCATGGAATGTATAAAATACATTCGCATATTAATACAGAGGAGTCGGAGTCGGGGAGTCGGAGTTGGAGTCGGAAGTACAAAAAACTGAGGAGTCGGAGTCGGAACATTTATCTACCGACTCCACAGCCCTGACTATGGCCCCGTTTAATAAAGCTAGCCAATGGGAGTATAGAGCAGGGGTAGGCAACTATGGCCCCTTTATGATCTGTGGACCTCAACTCACAGAATTCCTCAGCCAGCCAGGACCCCTGATACAGAGAGCTGCAGGTGTTTTTTTTTTTTTTTTCCTGGACTGTTCTCTTCCCATCTTGTTAGTTGTCTTCTCAGAGCTTCTAGCTGGTCTCTGTTGAAGAGATGTTATATACCTGGGTGAAAACAGGGTTAAGTTTCTTGTGATGTAGGTTGCAAGAACTAGCTTGTTGATCTGTAAGCGAAAAAAAGTATCCTCTAGACCAGGGCTTTTCAACCAGTGGTACGGGTACCACCTGTGGTCCATGGGCACCTGGCAGGTGGTACGCGACCATCCTAGAAAAGTGGTAGCGGGGGAGGGGAATGAGCTGAACCGGTGGCAGCACCGCACAAGCCTGAGCGAGAGATGGCTGGAGCTGCAGGGCTGTCAGGGCTCAGTGGAAGCAACAGGATCAGCGCCAGGCTCCAGTTGGAACGGCGCTGATCCTGGTGCTTCTGCTGAGCCCAGAAGAAGCGCTGATCACCTGGAATGTTGCAGCATCTCCAGGGTCTTGTGATTTACATTCAGATGCTTGGCAACTGATTCATATTTATGACGGTCACAGTGTCCCAGGGTCATGTGAGGTGACCCAAACCTGCTGCAACCACCCAGCAGACGGGGGGAATAAAAACCAAACATCCCCCCACCCCACCCCCGCTGCCAACCCTCAACAGAAATGCTCACAACAATGAAAACCTCAGATAGGACAAGAGCGCCGCCAGGTGGGCAGGCAGGTGTCTTGCTCAGCTGTGGCTTGGGGGGACACTTTTTTCAGTGCCACTGTAACTTCGAACAATCACTAAGCGAACTGTTGTAAGTCGAGGACTACCTGTACTTTATCACTGTTTTCCTTTTTTGGGGGGGGGTCATCAAATTTTTGACACCTTGCGACTGGTGGTCCTCGGATGTTGCCATATCCTAAAAGTGGTACAATGGGTGAAAAGGTTGAAAAGCCCTGATCTAGAAAAGTTCTGTATCTCTGTATATGTACTTTTTCCCCCCCCCCAAAAAAAACCCCAAAAAGGCAAAAGAGGCCCAGGTGAAAGCGGCAGAGGTCGAAGGAGAACAGATCGACAACAAAGCCAGGTTGGAAGCAACTCTCCAAGAGGAGGAAGCCATCAGGAAAGAACACCACGAGAAAGAGTTGGAAAAGCTCTCCGAAGCGGCTGAAAAAGCCAAAGAGACTCTCCACGCGGCGGAAAGGGTGAGTAAATAAGGCCTAAGGCAGGGGTAGGCAACCTTGGCTCTTTTATGACTCGTGGACTTCAACTCCCAGAATTCCTGAGCCAGCTAAAGCTGGCTCAGGAATTCTGGGAGTTGAAGTCCACGAGTCATAAAAGAGCCAAGGTTGCCTACCCCTGGCCTAAGGTTTGAGGAGGGAGTGGTGCGGATGCCATGCTGAGCTCCTGGAGGAACGGCAGGATATAAATCCTCCCAAGGAGCCGAAAGAGAGAAAGCCAAATGATTCTCCTTCCGAAAAACATCCATTAAAAAACCCGTGCATCCACCTGGCGATTCCAAATGTCAAACCCTATTTAAAACGTGTCTAATTGTTGTGTTTCCTGTGTGTTCCGGAAGGAGGTGATAGTAGATCTGGATTCCTCCGCTCTGAACCAAGGCTCTGTAGATGCCGCCGCTGAACGAGAACTGGCAAAAGTGAATTTAGCCCTGGAGGCAGAGGTTTTGAAAGATACGGCCCCGGTATTGGAAGGCACGAAGGTAAAACGTTCGACGGGCGCAAGACGGCGTCAGGCTGTAAAGCACAGCACCAACTTAATGCTTGCTCCATCCAGATTAGCCCAGGCATCCAATTATGAGAGAGGCAGAGAAGGCTCGGGCTGAGTTAATCCATTACCTGCTGGTTACTTAAGGTTCCAGTTACACAGGACTTAAGGGTGGGCAGCCTTTGGGTGGATAAAAATTGGACTACCTAAGATAAGAGCATCAGCGCCGCCGTGAAATAAAGATACAGTATCTTGGAATACAGTATAAGAGAAATTAGTAAGAAGACATCTTCAGCTAAGCTGCTCAAAATGAAATGGATCACGGTAGTATAGCTGCCAGCTCCAAGTAGGACAAAGGCCATTTTATTTGCCGCTGTACAAGGAGAATAACATCTAGTAGCTCTACGTCAACAAAGACGTCAATCTCTAATGCCGCGTGAATCTTTCAGACTCCTCAAGTCTCCGCCACGTTATGTTCCTGAAGAAAATTGCTATCGAGGCATAACTGGAAAAACCGAGGACGCCGGGAATATATCGGTGTAAAATGGGCAGAACCAAAACCATGCTCAGTTCTCTCTTATCGGTCCCCGATCTCTGGAGCATGAAACGTTCAAGCGGGAGGCCTTTTTGTGTTACATTTCTCTCCTAATAGCACTGAAAGGACTGCACCAGTGAGCCAAAACAAAGTCTCCTCTGTCAGCAGGGACTTTTAGCTGCGTAAGGCGCTGGGCAAGTGTTAATTTTACGTCTGGATGAAAGGAGATCGGGGCTCCGCTTAAATCAGTCTGTCGTTCTCTGTCCAGGCTGTGCTTCTTGAGGAGTGGCCTTGCCTGGTCATAACTCTTGAGAAAGCAGCCAGGAGGCGTAAAACTAAGGAAAGGGAGCCGTGGTGTAAGGATCTGTTGTAACTCCACTCACACTGGGAACCATCCGTGCTAGGGGAGAGAGACCCACTGAGTAGAAGTGATGAGTTAGCCAGGAGTTAAATGTATTTATCAAAACCTCAGTCTGTCGTTGTATTAAACCCAATTTTAGTTGTAAGGGGGCCATGGTGGCCCCTGAAGTATCGGCCTAAGTAATCCAGAATTGAATTTCAGAGGAAGCAGGTAGAGAAAAGATCCAGTGGTGGATCTTTATATTGGAGATGGGCTGTCAATTTAGCTTCAAATAATTTGACAGCTGTTGGCGCAGGACAGCCCCCGTTCTACAGAATTTTATCTTATTTTGTAAGAATTTGTGAACGGCAGTACATAAGTACTGTGCCCTCTTCCGCCAGCAGTTCTCTGGGAAACCATAAAACGAGATTTGCTTCGTCCTAAAGTGGGACTTGCTGTTTATGCCCCCTGTGTGAGCTTTTGGTGTCTCTGGGAAGAAGATGCTCTTGGCTTTTGCTACGATCCCTCTTCGATGGATCTTCTTTACCGGAGCTCTTCTGGCCGTGGGACTTCGGCAGCATCGTCGATTTAGCCACAGAAAGTAGAGTCGACGGAGAGATGCTGGCCTGCCGCCTTGAGCGGACGAGCACACAGGTCTCCCAAGCAACCGCCGGGAGGTTGATGTAGACATTAAGCAGCTTCTCTTAACTTCCCAGGGTTTGACAAGTGCCCATTGATCGTAACAAATAACTATTTAGTAAAGGTTAGATAACACCTTCAGACTGGTGCAGTTATTTAAAAAAATCCAAATAAGAGGGGATCTAGCCTCTGGTTTCCTCCAGAGAGAAATTTCTCTAGGAAACAGAATCAGGTGTGATTTCTTACCAGCGAAAGCTGTGTGTAAAAGTTAAGGACCCCTCATTTGTAGGATGCTGTAGAAAATCTGTTGGAAAGTTCTTGGCTGGAAAATTAAGAAAAGCATCATCAGATTGAGAGCCATGTTGGTGGGAGTGGTTAAGGGGCCAGGCTAGAAACTGGGAGTTCTAGTCCCATCTTAGGCACAAAGCCAGCTGGGTGATCTTGGGCCAGTCTGTCTCTCTCTCCCTCTCCCACCTCTCTCTCCTCTCCTTCCCTCTCTCTTCTCCTTCCCTCTTTCCTCTCTCTCTCCTCTCTCCTCTCCTTCCCTCCCTCCCTCTCCTTTCTCCCTCTATCTCCTCTTTCTCCCCTCTCTCTCTCCCCCTCTCTCCTCTCTCTCCTCCCCTTCTCTCCCTCTCCTCTCCTCTCCTTCCCTCTCTCTTCTCCTTCCCTCTTTCCTCTCTCTCCTCTCTCCTCTCCTTCCCTCCCTCCCTCTCTCTCCTTTCTCCCTCTATCTCCTCTTTCTCCCCTCTCTGTCTCCCCCCTCTCTCCTCTCTCTCCTCCCCTTCTCTCCCTCTCTCTCCTCTCCTCTCCTTCCCGCTCTCCTCTCTCTCTCCCTCCCTCTCTCCTTTCTCCCTCTATCTCCCCTCTCTCCTCCCTCCCTCTCTCCTCTCCCTCTCTCCCTCTCCCCCTCTTTCTCCTGCTCTCCTCTCTCCCTCTCTCTCCTCTCCTCTCCTTCCCGCTCTCCTCTCTCTCTCCCTCCCTCTCTCCTTTCTCCCCTCTCTCCTCCCTCCCTCTCTCCTCTCCCTCTCTCCCTCTCCCCCTCTTTCTCCTGCTCTCCTCTCTCCCTCTTTCTCCCTCCCTCTCCCTCCCTCCCCTCTCTCCTCTCCCTTTCTCTCTCTTCCTCCCTCTCCTCTTTCCTCCCCCCCCCAAAAGGAGGCAAAGGTGAGCTCTTTCTGGAAAACCTTGCCTAGGAAACTCCAGGGGTTTGTTCGGGCAGCCTCTTGAGTATCAGACACGGTTGAAGGGAAGGGGGGAGGGGAAGCGTCCTATTAGACCGGTTTCCCAAACTGGACAGGATATTTTCAAAGTTAATGTAGGTTCACTTTTTCCGCTTCATGTTGTCAGCCTGTCTCGGTAAAATGTTTTATTAGTGCTTCTATGCTGTGTACTTTTGTGTATATTGTAGGCGCAGATAAAATTGATATAATGTGTCTTAAGCAAATAATATAATTTATTACAACTCTCTCCTGTCTTGCATAGTGCGCTGCGTAGCATAGCATACTTCTTCATAAGGTAGCCAGTTTGTAACTCAGTCTGTGAAAGGGTGTAGTGCAGAAGGACGCAGGAAAGGCACAAGAAGGTATGTGGAATTGAGCCGTAGCATAAAATAAGTTTGTCTACTCTTTTGCAGTTTAATCAAAAGTTCAGTTATTCCAGCTTTACCCAGATTTCAATGATATTTGTGCGCAGATAGAAATCTTGTTAACTTTCCCTTGAGCATTTGCCCTTTCCACAAAAATTTGAAACCTCGTTTTGGGGACTCTAAATTTTATAAGTGAGCAACCGCTTCGGTTTGCTCTGATTAAACTGTTGCTTATTTTTCCTCTGTTTTTTTCTTACTTTCTTTTTTTGCCACTTTGTGTCCCTGCTGGGACTGCCCCGCCTGGTCTGAAAAGCTGCTCATAAACTCTGCAGGACGGTGGGCACTGCCGTTCTCGGGGTCTCCCTTCTGTCCACGCCAGGGGCTCCCTCAATAACTTTGTGCAAGGCCAGAGCAGAAGCCCAGCCTGTTTCCTTGGAGGGGGTGGGCCCCGATCCCCGGTCCCTCCAGGGATCTTCCTTCCTCTCTCCTGCAAGGGTCGGGATCCTTCTCCTCCTGCACTCGGATTGTTCAGCTTGAGGGGAGACATAACTGGGGGCAGAACTTCCTTCCTTTCTTAAACCCAGGCACTCATTCAGCCGGAAGGCGGCTCCTTTCCTCTTCCCACGACAGACACCCTACTAGACTTGACCGGGAGCCAGTCTGGTCTGGGGTGGGGAAGGCCCCAGGCTAAAAAGACGGAGCTGCTGGTGAGCTCTAGTCCCGCCTTAAGCGCGAAAGCCGGCTGGGTGACTTTGGGCCAATCACCCGGAGGCGGTGAGTTCCAGTCCTGCCTTAGGCACGAAAGCCTTCTGGGTGACTTTGGGCCGGTCCCTCCCTCTCCGCCCAACTCCCCTCCCAAGGTTGCGGTGGTGGGGAAAAGAGGAAGAGGAGGGGGGGAGCGTTTGATAGATAGCCGTCTTGAGTTATTTGTAAAAATAATAAAGCTGGGATACAAATAACATAGACTATCTTGGATAGGCTGGGGGGGAGGAGGAGGGGGAGAAGAGCTGTGCTACCCGACCGTACCAACAAAGGACTTGTGGGTGAAAGCACCACCGCTCCTCTTCAGGGCCTTGTCTGTGGTCCATGGGATACGTTCTCAGCTTGGCCGCAAAGGAGCAGCCCCCTTGGACCAGCCCCCAGCCCCCCCAAGGGTTTCACCGGGTGCAGGCGCCCCAGTCATAGCGTGTTCCTGTGGCGCTCAGAGATTCATGGCAGGAGACCCGGAGGAGCCGTTGTGCTCCACATGGACTTGTCCAAATCATCAGGGAGGCCTCAGTGAAAATCCAGCCAGGAACCACTCAAGAATAGCTGCCCATTTTCACTTGATCCTCTGAAAAACATGGAATTGCAATTTGTACAGTTGGGACTGCAGTCGGATAGGCAAGCGTGCGCCACTCGTGCCTCTGCGCATTCTTTTATATTTATAGATAGGAAAGATGGTTGCATATTACACACAGAGTGAATCTATAAAATAAATAAATAGTGTAATATCAATCATGTCGATCTCTTCCTGGACACAGCGCAGTGAGGATTCACGTTAAATTCATGGAATGGCTTCCAGAGAGAGTCAGTGTCTTGCTGCAGCCTTGTTTACCCTTAGATCTCTTGGATTCCTGGATCTCTTGTATAATTTATTTTGCAGGGGCAGGAGGATGTGGAGGACAAGTGAGGCTTAAAATTCTTTGTCCTTTCCATTTATTTAGGGCGAAGAAATAACAAAGGAAGAGATTGACATGCTAAGCGATGCTTGCACGAAACTGAAGGAACAAAAGAAATTGCTGACAAAGGAGAAGGAGGAACTGGAGGACCTCAAGGACGACGTGCAGGAATACAGCGAGGTAAGGCCGGAGGGAAAGTCGGGGAAAGGAATCAAGGTCCGACTTGACTTTTGTTGGAAAAGGAAAATGAATGTGCGAACGTGATTTGTGCTGCTGCTAAGAGGCTCCTCTCCTAGACCCTCTGGCTCTGATAGATGGGAACAGAGGCCCTTCCCTGCCGCAAGAGATTCTGCGTTTTGCTTGGTCATTTTTAATTGCAGCCCTTGTTTCCTTTTTGTTCAAAATACAGCCGCCTTTAGGTCAGGGGTCCTCAACCTTGGCAACTTTAAGACTTGTGGGCTTCAACTCCCAGAATTCCTCAGCCAGCTTTGCTGGCTGAGGAATTCTGCGAGTCGAAGTCCACAAGTCTTAAAGTTGCCAAGGTTGGAGACTCCTGCTTTAGCACTGTTTCTCTCAGTGCTTGGAGATTCACACCGCAGGGTGGACCACTGGCTCCATTTGGTTCATCCCCTGGGTGTCTCCTTCACTCCTGAGTGTCAACGCTGCCAACATCAGATGTTCTCGCTTTGACAATATATGAAGATGCAGCCATTTTCTCTTTAACCTGTGTGTTACTTTTAGAGTTAGAATCAGATGATGCTGGGGGGGGGAGGGGGAAGAATGTGTATGGGGATTAGTCAGACCTAACAACATCGCAGTAGAGTATTCTTCAAGGTTGTTTGAAATAAGAGCCGATAAGGAATGGCGGGTTGTGGAACTGGAGGGAAGGCTTGCATTTCAAACTAATTGGGGAATGTGATTTATGACGGTTAATTGGAGGAGGGAATTGTGCTTTGATACTGTGTGTTTAGCGGAGGGGAATTTAGATTTTGGCTTCAATTATGTACATACCGAAGATTAAAGATTCTTTAAGGTAAACAATGCCTCGAAGGTCTTTGAAGAGTTTCATCTGTCGGAACCATGACACTGGGCCTTGCCACGTTCTTCAGATCTGCCGCCGGCTCTGGGTTGGGAGGCAGGGGAAAGGCCCAGGTTGAGTTTCAAGTCACAGGGAGAGACAGCCCCCTTCCCCTGGTGGAGCCCCCCGGGAAGACCAACGGGCCCCAGTGGCCTCTGTAGGCCTGGAAGGAATTGCCCGTAAGCCAGCCATGGCTCCCATCGCCAGCTCTTCTCTCCCCCTCCCCTCTTCATTATAACAAAAGCTTTATGGCAGTGGTTCTCAACCTGTGGGTCGGGACCCTATTTGGGGTCGATCGACCATTTCACGGGGGTCGCCAAGCAAGGCTGTCCGCCATTTTTTTTGTCTGCCATTTTTTTTGTCTGCCATTTTTTCCCCCCTTTTCCGGCGGGTGCCTTACCTCCCTTGGGCTGGGCCAGCTGGTGGTCGGCCTGCTCCGTCTCTGCCGCTTGCCAGCTATGCCTCGGCCGGCGCAGGGGGCGGAACCATGCATGTGCAGTGCTCCCGGGCAGGGAAAGTCCTCGACTTACGACCGGTTGGGTAGTCCTCGACTTACGACCGGTTTAGTCCTCGGTTTAGTCCTCGACTTACGACCGGTTTAGTCCTTGACTTACGACCGGTTGGGGTCGCGGCATTAAAAAGGTTGAGAGCCACTGCTTTATGGGGTAAAAAAAAGGTTTCTCTTCCGTCCGTAGGATCTGCAGGAAATCAAGGAGTTGACCAAGAGCGGGCCAGAAGACCTCGTTGAGGAATCCAAAGCCAGCAAGAGGCTGACTAAAAGAGTGAACCGAATGATCGGGCAGATGGATAGAATTATTCAGGAGCTGGAGAGAGACCAAAAGAGCGGGGATGCTAGCGCCCCCATTGGGTGAGTGATGGGTAATGCAACGGATCCTTGCCGTCCATTCGAGGGAGGGTTGTTTTTTTTGTCATTGTTGGAAGGGACCAGCCTTTGAGGAGCAACAAGTAGGCTGCCTGGTCTGGGAGAGGCTTTGTCGTTCTTGGGCTCTTCCTTAAATTTCTTTTTTGAAAAAAGCCAGGTGGCAAATAACTCTGATTTCCACCGGAAGGCGCTACAGAGGTGGGTTACAAAGGCTCCGCATGCGCGCATTGATCCTTGGTGTAGTAACCGCTTGCTTCAACTACAGGCTGCGTTTCCCATTTAGGGAGAACCTCATCAGCATCCACGACCTCATTAACGTGTTGAAGCAGCTTCAGGAAATCCCCGAAAGCAAACTGAACAAGCTGGCCGAAGCGCTGGATGAAAACAAGGACGGCAAGATCAACCTGGATGACGTGGTCAAGGTGAGTCCACGGAGCAGCCGTTCGGGCGGTAATTTCACCGGTGAATGGAGAAGCGTTGCGTCCGTATTCCTGGAAGCCCGGCAGAAGCGAACGCGGGACCAAGCCCGAGTTTCACGTTAACGCTCGGCTGTGTCCTGAGTTGTCTTTGGACAGTTGTGTCTTCTTAATGTCTTCTGGCACGCAGCTTTCCCCAGCCTGGATCCCTTCAGCTGCGCGGTCTCAATTCCTAGAAATATTTACCATTAAGGATGAAGGGAAAAAGTTGGTGTTCCTGTACATTTGTCAGAGAAGTAACGTACCCAAACAACAATATTCATTCACTGTTTCTTTGGGAAATGCCTTTTGGTGTTCCTAAACCAGGGGTAGGCAACCTCGGCTCTTTTATGACTCATGGACTTCAACTCCCAGAATTCCTGAGTCAGCTATGCTGACTCAGGAATTCTGGGAGTTGAAGTCCATGAGTCATAAAAGAGCCGAGGTTGCCTACCCCTGTGACCTAAACTATTGCATTTTATGTTATTTTGTGCTGAAGTAAGGCTGAATTTAGGAACAAACTTGCTTGTTGTTTTTTTTTACTTTCCTATTCATGTTTTTCAAAAAATACTTAGGAAGTAAACCTAAATAAGTGATATACAGTATGTAACCCTAATTTTTTAAAATGTTTGCTTAGGTGATAGAACTGATCGACAAGGAGGATATTGATATCTCCACCAAGCAAGTAGCAGAGATCGTGTCTCTGCTGCAGAAGGAAGAAAAACTAGAAGTAATGGAGAAGAGCAAAGAAATTGGGGAGAAGGAAGCTGCGGAAGTGAAGAATTAACCTCCACAGAAGTTCAACGGTTAAATCGAATAAGACCTCATGGGCACCTTAGTCAGCACTTAGTAGGGGCGAGATGAAGACGCCTGGTAGTTTTCCAAATAATCAATGATAAAAGTAATTTTGGGAGCTAGGGAGACATTTCTCTGACCAAACAGAGACTAGGGATCCTTCCATGAAAATAGAATCCGTTCTGGTCTTCTAAGAAATCAACCCATCTTCTACGGTGATGTTGATTCTCTGGTATGGTATGTTGATTCAGTCTCTCTGTCTCCCGGTTCTGATATAAATTTAGAAATTGCTTTGCGATGCAAAAGAAATCGCTACTCCTTTTAAAACAATGTTACATTTGCTTGTCACAGAGATGATGACATTTTTTCTTCTTGGGAAAGTGAAAATTTCTACCGCAAAATCTCCAACACTGATAAATCACTCAGAAATGGCTAAATCTAGGTGAAAATTGGTTTTGTAATTATTTTGTGTTAACGTGTAGAATTGCACTGAATCCATATTTTTTTTTTTTTTAAAAAAAATCCCTCTTGAACATTTTTATTTTGGCTTGGTTGACTTCTCAGTGTTAAAAAAGAGAATAGATTGCACCATTTGGCTAACAATGCACACAGTTTTAAAAAGTGTTTAAATTCGCTCACCCCTCTTGTAACCTCACTAATCTTTGACTCGAGTCTTACCCATTTATCCAGTTTCACTGATATATATAATCTGGACTCTGAGAGTTTGCAGATCAGGCATCGGCTGGCTACAAGGCGACTTGGAAATGGTGAAAAAGAAAATCTACCAAATCACTGTTCATGTAATAGGTGTATTTAACTAGGAGATTTTTCCACCTTGGGTATGAAATAACTAATTCAACATACTGGAGACGTCATAAAAATGGCCTATATAATCACCAGAATTAAAGGCTGCTAATAAGTATCTCCCTTAGTTTGACTCTGCTTTTGATCTAGCCCAGGGGTAGGCAACCTTGGCTCTTTTATGACTCGTGGACTTCAACTCCCAGAATTCCTGAGCCAGCTGTGCTGGCTCAGGAATTCTGGGAGTTGAAGTCCACGAGTCATAAAAGAGCCAAGGTTGCCTACCCCTGATCTAGCCTGTTCTGCTGTGATAGTTCGCTAGTTTTTCCATGCAGGTTTTCTCAAGCAGCCTTTCAAAGCATTTGGGGGGGGGGATTATGTTGTTCTGAGGGGTGGAGGTGATTCCAAGTCTGTTCCCAGAAATAGATGTTGTTGAAATTGGCAAATTGAGCCTGTTTTCAATCACGATGCTGGGGTTTTGTCAGGGCTCAGAAGCAGTATTTGCGTTGCCTTTCTTTAATTGAGTTGCAATACGGAAACACCCTCGGCCTACCAGACATGAGATCAGAATTAATAGGAAACATATTTTAGATCCCACTTTGGAGGAATTAAAATTGCAAACTCTGGCCGTTGGTAGATTTGTCACCCTTTTCTATTTTTGCTGCCGCCTTGGTGCTGGTTGGCAGGCGTGGTGCAGACTGAGCCCATTTCTTTTCACGTTCCTCTTTCAGTTGTGGTACGCATTGATTTTATGGGAAGCAGTGTCTTGCGACATTAGAAGTTCCTTTTGAGCGGCCGTGAAACGTGTTTCATTGTGACGGGTGTGTTTGCAGCTGAATTTGGATCAGAAGTGAAAACCTTCCATAGCAACTTAAAAACCCCTGGAGATAGATGCCCTTTTCACGGCATGCAAAATGGACCGTAATTTTTATTGCATGCTTATTCCTGTGACAAATTAGCAAAAGGGAGCACAACTCTTACTATCTATCCAAGTGCCTACTCTGAATTCAAGAGAGAATCACTGCGGAGGGCAAAAGGAAAAAAGGTTGAACATCCTTACAACTCTACTTCACAACAGGTCAGGTTGCAGCGGATAGTTGGATGCTACAAAGTACATTCGTCAAATCTGTGTACTTGCCGTTTCGGCATTGTTGCAGAGGATGTGGAAAGCCACACCTCAGCTAAAACACGCCTTGCCTGTTTTAGACTGGAAACAGCTATTGGAAATAGTTGTGTGCGTACACAACTTCCGGAGGCATTACAGTGATTAAGTTCATAATGTAGATACTAAGGTTTCTGTAGTCTGGTGCTCACGTTGTGTGTAAGTTGATCTCCGTTCTGAAGGAAGCCACCGTGATAGCTTTCCATTCCGCGTTTCCGTTCCAGCTCCATATTGTTGCCGTTCCCCTTTGTCCAAACCTTGGCTGGTGATGTAGTAAGGAATTGTCATTTTTGCAATCATGTGTAGACAGTTGTGTGTTTTGCAGGGGCAACTGAACACAAGACGATGGGAGATTGGAGCTACCTCATCTGCCCTTTGGCCATGACGGCGTTAGTAACTGAGTTAATCTTTTAGCGAAGAGAAGAGAAAGGCTGCACCTCAGATATGTGATGCGTAGTTGCTGGCAAGCATGAACTTCAGAGAAGGTGTGGATTCCATTTATGAGGGTCTTGAGGGAGGAGATGACTTTCAGGCCCCCTCCTGTCCCCTCGGGTGACTTTCAGTGCCTTTACCAACCACGTGGTCTTCTTCCTTCGGTCACGAGTAGAGGCAGATAAATAGTTGGCTTTTCAACCCTGTCACATTGGTCCTTCAGTTGGGGTCTGTTTCATTTTAACTCCAGTAGCTTTTATAAGTAGATCTGACAAACACCTTTTATAGCTGATGGCATATACCTTTTTTTTTTAATGGGAGCAAGTGGTGGGCTTCTTGTTTTGAATGTAGAAATTGCCAGAACTCCCATTTACAGCTGGAAAAATTCCAGTCTGCGGCATCCACTCTGTTTACAGCTTAAGCCAGCGAGCCCCAATCTTTTGGGCACCAGGGACCGGCTCCACAAGGAGAGGTTTTTCCACGGGCCGGAGGGGGCCCGGTTCCACGGGCTGCCTGCATCCCGTGGATGGGGCTTCGCTTGTTTGTGTGTGCCGGTTTCTGGCATGCTGTGGATCACTGCCGGTGGGGACCCCTGGCTTAGACGAATCGACCGTCCGTCTCAATATAACACAGCTTTTTAACTTTGCTATACGATACATAAAGGACAATGCAGATTAATCATCAACTTCCTGTATTTATGGGTTGATAAGCTGGTGTTAGGAATATATGCATACAATTAGGCATACTTTGCATACTTTGTCTGTACATGTGTATAGACATGCACACATATCTTTCTGGTGGATAAGGATAAATATCACTTGGATCTAAATGCAAAATTGTTGTACAGGTTTAGAGACGCGAAGGCCTAAAATAGGAAAGTGAGGTCGTGTTTTCAATAAGTGTTAATTTTCAGCTATAGAAATAAAGTCTGAGGAGTAGTAACTGGTAATTAACTTCAGATGCAGAATATGAAATGTGTGACATTTCATATGGCAAGCTGTTTTTTTATTTCTGTCCAGAACTCATAGTGTTGTTTTGGCACAGTGTTGTCTGATTTAGGCTGCCTCCATCTCCATTAGAGGCGGAAGTGAAGGTGAGTTTCTGGTTTCCATCTCAGTTCATATTTGGGTTGACTGGCAACCGTGGACGATGGACGAGAGCGCCGGATCGGTTGGCACTGTGAGATGATACTTGCAGGACAATTGAATGTATCTCATCTTTTGTAATCAAATTGTAGATATTTTGCCCCAGTTCAGATGTAAAAAAGAATATACTATTCAGTCTACATTAAAACATAACCAAGGCCCTTTCCTGGTAAAGCATATTCTGCTGGCCATATTTTGAGGAGGGCTGCTGTTGAAATAGGGGCAGCTTCCTTAAAACTTCCACCTAACTGGTTGCATCCAGCCCTTCAAAGCTCTTTGGGTCACTCCAGAGTCCTCCAAAAAGCCCAGAGGGTTGTGGGGGGCGGGGGGCTGCAACTAATGGTGCACCTTCAGTTCCTTTTCACCGATTTCTGCATCCAAACTCTTGGTCTTCAATCTGTAACTACCGTTTTGCCAGCCAAACGGATGGATTCACTTTCTCTGTTAATTGAGTTTGGGGGTGGAATCAGACCCTGAGCCCCACTCCCTCTGGGGAAGTCTTAGGTCTAAGGCAGGGGTAGGCAACCTCGGCTCTTTTATGACTCATGGACTTCCAACTCCCAGAATTCCTGAGCCAGCATAGCTGGCTCAGGAATTCTGGGAGTTGGAAGTCCATGAGTCATAAAAGAGCCGAGGTTGCCTACCCCTGGTTCTAAGGGGTGACTTCAGACTCTCTTCCATTTGCTGTTAAAATGCTCTGGATACTCTCAGTGGCTGATCAGAGCAGATATTCTCCCAGCGCAGTGTGTGATTCCATAAATATTCAAGGATGTCCTAGAAAAAAATAACTACTGAATGAATTTTGTGATTTAAAAAAAAAAAAAAGCTTAAGAAATCACAGGGCAAAGGTGCTCATTTTAAAGGGGCAACCACTTTAAGTATTTTTTTTTTTTAGGAAAGAAAAACCCCCATAGGATCAAAAAGCCAGAGAGGGCCTTGATTTTTGGCTGTAATCAGTGCATCTTCCAGCTAAGCAAGATCCTCTTTTGAGTTTTTTGAGATTAGATAGACTCCCCTAGTCCTAGTCCCAGAAGGAAACTGAGGCAAGAGGGGGGGATCCAGTTCGGCTGTCTCCTTTTGGCCCTGGAGGGGTAAGGATTAAATTGGGCCCTTGTACACTCCACTTCATACTGGGAGGGGCATTATTTCTTCATCAGGGTTTGAGATGGAAATGAACGCCCATTGGCAAATCAGTGATTTTTTTAAAACAGCCTAACTGGCAATCTAAGCTTGTAGGTAATCTAGTAGCAGAGAAATTTCATGCTGTTTCGTAATTTTAACAATGGGCACGAAGCAAACCAAGTTGCTTTTTTTCTAGAAGGGAATTTGATTCTCTTTAGGGAAAAAGCCTGGAGCCATCATCACCCAGTTACATAAGATCTGGGTTGAAATACATTATGGTGTGTGTGTAATGCTCGTGGTGCTTTTGTGTTTAATATGTATAAAATCCTTTTTATCTTTCTAAGCTTAAATTATTATACAAAATACCGCATTAAAAGAAAATTATACCATAGTCCCTCTTTTACCGTGGATTAT